TTTCCTAAGAATTTCTCATCTATAGTAAAGACCATTATCAAAGCATTTGAGCGCGCGATTATTATTACATTATAATTAGATTAGTGAGATGTGAATAATTGCGGAGATTTCTTATTCTTAATTATTATTATATACACAGCGGCATTTTGAATCGTTTGGACGAGGCAAAATGTTTTTCTCCCAGATAAATATCATTGCATGTCATAAATACTCTAGCGCTTACGTGTGTTGTACTTCAGTTGGGGACCTGTCTCAGTTCTGGACTGAGTGTCTGGGTTCAGAACTGAGACGGGTATAAATACTATTGTATAGATGAAGGTCTTGGGTTTTTTTAGAATCTAGAAACTTAACCTTATGAGCGGCGAGCTACGTTGCTTCCTTTGTTTTTATTCAGCTATAAGAGATAGTGATTTTCTGCTAGTCACCAAGTTATTCAGAGATAACAAAGATTTCCTCTAAGAGTGACATTCGTGAAAACGATAAATACTGATATGCAATTGACTACTCCGCGAGCCATGTAATTTGTGATCGAACAACTACATTTCAAAAATTATCGAATATTTAAATTTCGCAATAAATTGATCACGTGGTTTCCTGTCGGAAATGAAAAAGCAACGTGGCGTGGTTATTATGCAAATTTACGCGCGTGTGATTAAAACTAATGGTGCACTTCTCTCGACAAAAAATCTGGTGAATAACAGTTTTGTGCGGAGAGCGTGTGTTTAATATCAGAAATAACATGGATGCGCCAATCAAATATAAATTAATCAGTTATTTACAAAAGATTTATAGACAATGCGCTTGCAATATAATATACAATCGTAAAAGGACTTGAGAAATTTTATGACTCCGTAATCAATCAATTCTAATAGTTCCTTCTCATGCCTCATGTGAGAACATATTCATCACCGAGAACGTTGGTTATTTTTTCAGCCAATGGCTGCATTTCCGATTTGTCCATCAGCTTAAATTCATAGACAAAATACATAAAATGTTTAAAACTAGTATTAAGATGTGGTTCGGCATTCAACTGTTGGATAGCTTCTAGATGATGGCAATAGATATGAGCGTATACTCGGAATAGACGTTTGAAAATGGTCTTTACTATAGATGAGAAATTCTTAGGAAATGGAGCACCTAAAAAAGATTATACATATAAAATGAGAATGGATGATATACAAACAAACTGTATCTGAGGTTTCGTTGGCGCGTGTGTAGACGACGCAAATGTCAACTAATATATTACTCGGTGACTTACCTAATTGGCTGGGGAAGACATCGTTGTCTTCTAATTGCCCCTGTATCCAATTCATAAGGAGATCAACATAATGCGGAGCTGAGACAGTAGTTGGTTTCTTATATTGCTTGTTATCTTGCCACCGATATTCAACTCTGAATCAAATCATTTAAAGTAAGTCTATGACCAGTCATTAATCACTCATACAGCCGCAACTATCACCTTGCTCCAGCTGACATAACGGGACATCGTTGCGGAGTGCAGTATTCGGTAATAATTCCATACAACATGTTAATCTGGTTGTAAAAATCGTAAGCTACAGAACATTTATGATTAGTTGAACATCATAATGTTAACAATAATTAAACCCAGATATATTTATCATTACTATGAACAGCAAGCCACTCTTGTGAGTCTTCTCCCTCAGGCAGCTGGACCGCCAATTTCAAATTTCCTGACCCGAGAGTAACTTCAGCATATTTTTGAAGCCGATGTTGATGTGTTCTTTCCGGAATATGCTTTTTAGCCCTAAATGTTTTATCTTTGCCTCTCCTTGGTGGAAAGAAATAATCAATAAGGTATGTGTTGATCCTGCCAAGTAACAGTCACTTTCCGTTGGCATGCTTACATTCCGCTGAATAAGCTCATGTCCGCTTTAATGCAATAAGATGGACAGGTAAGTGTTCTTTCTTACGGTAAATAATAGTGACAATTAACGTCATACTGCATTGTAGTATGTCAATATGATACATATTTGTTTAGCATTCGGGCAAATCAAAATGTATGAACACTGAAAGGGGCAAGTTCCCAAATTTGAAAAGGGAGTGCCCCACAACTCTTCAGATATGTAATATGGGACCGGAACTTGATAACTCTTCCCAAGGTTGGATCACGCTTTATTATCTAAGTGTTAATATTAACGTGAAGAGACCTACTAAATAAAATATACAAAAAAATAATCGTTGAATATGAATGTCACTAATATAATCCTTTATTAGGCGCAACTAAGATGGACCTCTAAAGCTGCTTTTTTCACATCATACCAAGTACATGTTTGAGCCCAATAAGGTTTCGTCCATACTAGTAAAAGAATTAAATTAAACCAGCATTAATAATATCAACAGGTGTGGAAGGGAAGGGAAAGTGATGGAGTTATAGTTTCACTGTATCTATTATTGACTTGATAGGGGACCATGGAGGTTTTTTGGGTGTGGGATGAGAGAGAGTGACTACCTGAGAGAAGAAGGGAACATAGTGATTCGTACTTGAGGGCTCCCAAACACATGTGAAGTATATGGTTTTGGCACTAATATACTGGATAAACCATTTTCTTATAGATATCGTTTTTGCCTACACCTCAAGTTATGTATTGCATCCGCGGCAAGACAAATCCCTACCTCAAATGTTCATTGCCGCGAATAGAATTAACGTAATCGATAGGTTGCTAACGGATCAGACTTTACATCAACCAAAAGCATGCGGCGAATTATAAAGAACAAAATTTAAAATGGATATAAACGAGTTAAGCAATCTTTGGCTTTCAATTTAATGGCATTCATGAAAATAGATGCAATCGGTTTGTAGATTGGATTCAACTCAAATATTTTAAGTATGTGTTGAGAACTACATTTTTTCTTTCATCACCATTATTTTCATAACACTGTAACTAACATTCGGCTACAGGTCAGTCTCATATAAAAGTCTATATCAGTCTTCAGATTGGGGAAAGACAGCATCAGGTTTAAATGTTAGTTCCTCAGATGAGTCTAAAGTCATTGATCTTAGTTTGTACACCATGTTTGTTATCTCTTCGTCGTCCGAGAACTCGTGCAGTGCTTGTTCATAATATTTAAATATTTTGGACATGTCATCTGTAATAACAGTAGTTGATTTGATGAGAATGAAAAATGTTAACCAAATATGTGATTCATGAATTTGTAATATTACCTTTGGTATGCTCAATTACGTTGGTATCAACCAACTCGATAAGAAAACTTATTATAGTGCTGCTCGTCTCCCTATAAAATGATGCCAAGACTTTTAGCAGCTGAATAACATATATGTTACTGGATTTCTCATCACAATTCAGTTACTTTGTGAATTCGAATGAATCCAGTCTATCACATATCCAGCGAAATAGATTATTTAGTTCTTCCTGTTTATTAATAAACAATTCAGGTTGAGTTGATATGAGTAGTTTCATGGTTTCTATCGCAGATGAAAGCAACTCGGTATTCATTGTGTTGTATACGAAGAAGAGTATTTGATTGATGATTGAATATGAACTAATGTCTCCAACAATTATTTTGTAATTGTTCGAACAGTTTGTTAACAAATTCCTCAGAAGTCTGTCAATAGCAAAGCGATGGAAAGGAGAAATGTGAGTAACAACACGGCAAAAGTTATTCCTATTCTATTGATCGCGTGGTATAATCGAACCTTAGGCTTTCGACTAGCACCCTTCCGTCTGCACTCCCAGTAATTATTCTCCCAAGCACCGTCGTCACATCCTCATCATTAACGATTACAGTCGCCGTATCCATAAAACAAGCAACATTTGCCAGTATTCCCATAACCAATTCTTCCGTTCTCACCCTCCGTGTAATACTAATTGCCTTCAATACCATCCGATGCACCTGTGCTTCATTGATGAAAATCCTTGCATAGTCATGAATACTCGACAAATCCCATACAGCGCAGAGGGATTTCTCGAATTCAGAATCTTCTGGCGAGTCCACATCAACTGGATCAATGGCATTGGACTGAAGTGGTATAAGGACGTTTAAGAGAATGCCTGAGACAGAGGAGAGAGCTAACGTTGCATCCTCATCCTGAGCGGATGACATTCCAAATGACGATGTTTATAAACTTCTTTTTTTATCCAACCATGCTTTTTTCGTAAAATTCCTCGTGCTTTGTATAATCCGTCATTACATCATGCCGCGTCGTGTAACAAACAATATCCATTCTTGGATCGGCAGTTTTTTGGTCGTCGATTCTTGGAGTCGAATCTTATACTTTACTGTTTTCAATGTTACTTGTAAATGATTAAGAAGATAAAGAATACAAAAGCAATAAGAATCATGCCGAGGAGGAAAAGTGATTCAAAGGCAAACGAAGCCTCGAAAGCCTCAAAAACTGACGGAACGTCAAAGTCTGAGGTATGTGCGCTCACGATCTACCCATCGTCATAGATCGCTTATCAATTCATTAATTGATATTTTTCCGAACAATCTTTTTTGTTCTTTTCACTCGTTACTATAACCTCATTAAAATTCCCATATCTCACTACACAAAAGCCCGTTAATCTCTTAGCAAATCAGTCATCAAAATGGAAGAATATGACAGTTCGAGCGTTTTGGACATTTGTGATGATATTTGGTTTTCTATCAATGGTGGCATTGGGGCATTTGTTCGTCATTTTGACGGTTCTGTTGCTTCAAACGCTAGTCTTCAAGGAAGTGATTGCGTTGGCTAGTGTGCCGAATAAAGACAGGAAATTACCGTGGTCAAGGACGCTTAATTGGTAAGTATGGTTTTTAGAGGAGTATATGATTGAACGTGAACTTGTATGGGTGGGATGAGATGAGACGCGGATGAAGAGGAAAAATTATAACAGAGGAAAGGCTTTAGCCCACAGAGATGAGGTCTTATTTGAGGAACGAATGTTTAAGTCTGACATTTTCCTTGATAATTATTTAAAAATTCTAACACGGCGGCTGGCTCTCTTCTCCTATAGGTACTTTCTTGCTAGTACCACTTACTTCTTATATGGAGAATCGTTAATTTATTATTTCAAGGAAATAATAGTTGTTGATGCATTTCTACGCCCTCTCGCTTACCATCATCGTTTAATTTCTTTCACGTTGTACTGTATAGGTGAGTTTAATTCATCTTGATGTATAAAAGCTGTCGCTAATACTCAATGGATAAAAACTCTTTATCAACAGGTTTCGTCCTTTTCGTAACCACCCTTCATAAAGGATATTACAAATTCCAACTTACGCAATTCGCTGTGACGCATATGGCATTACTAATTGTCGTATGTCAGAGTCACTTCATGATTAATAATATATTCGAAGGACTGATCTGGTTCGTAGTTTGATATTTGGTTTGGTAGTCATTATTCTATTAGTTGTCAGATCGCGCGTATTTCACAATAATTTCTTACGTCATGTATTCGATCAGGCTTTTACTCCCAGCATCCTTGGTAGTTTGCAATGATTCTTTTGCATACTTATGTGGATTCTTCTGGGGGAAGACTCCATTAATAAGACTCAGTCCGAAGAAGACTTGGGAAGGGTTCATTGGTGGATGGATTTGTACCATGATATTTGCTGTTCTAGTAAGTGTGTCATATTTTGGGAGAGTTTGATAGAGAATGTGTGGAAGTCTAATTAAGGTCAATGCTCTTATAGTGGACATGGGTGTTAATACAGTGGGATTACATGATTTGTCCTGTTAAGGTAAGTTAGAAAAGTGATCTCGCTCATTTTTTTATTGTCAAACGAACGTTTAACTGTCGGATAATCATAGGATTTGGGCGCATCGGCATTCTCGGGAGTACATTGTGAACCAAATCCAGTATTCATACCTCAAAAACATAATCTCAATCCATGGCTAAGTAGCATATTACGACGTCTGGTAATTTAGTTATGATCGAGTCTAGTCTGTCAATCACGCTTATCGGCTTACCTTAATCATTTTATTGCTTTAGACATCGACTGACATACGTCATGTGTGGATTGCCCCGATACAATGGCATGTGCTAGTGATGGCATGCTTTGCCTCGTTGATTGCTCCTTTTGGTGGATTCTTTGCTAGTGGAGTGAAGAGAGCCTTCGGTGTGAAGGTAATTTTTACAGGCTAGATGTTATTGGGTAATATCAAATTTTTTTGACATGTCTTGATAATAAAAACAGGATTTTGGAGATTCTATTCCCGGTCATGGAGGTTTTACTGATCGAATGGATTGCCAATTTCTAATGGGATTATTCTCTTACATGTACTACCACAGTTTCATTAAGGTAATTGAAAATATGCGTTGGAGCGACAGCCTAAAAATATCTTTTCGTATTAACATATAAACAAATATTTTTTACAGACATACACGTACGTCTATATCCATCTCTCCGTCGGAGGCATACTGGAGAAGATAGCCGATTCTCTGAAACCCCAAGAACAGATAGAATTATTTAACAACCTCCAGCAGTATCTGTTTGAGCAGGGTCTATTAGCGCAACAAACCGTCGTCAACCATCCGACATCGTAGTAAACAGAGAATTAATGTATAGTTGAAGATGTATAAGTGCAGCATTTTGAAAGGCGTAGTTACAAGACATGTATGGTTCGGCGTTTTTGCTTGTACTTATTATACGTATTCATCACAGTATTGTCTGATTAATCATTGGTGGTTTGTTGGATACGTACTTAGCTATGCAATGATTGTCCTTTATTTGTGAATAATAAATATAATATTTCTGCTTACACATCAAAAATCCCAATATATACTAGCATTCAACTCGATATCACTCTATCCATAGCATTACTTTCTCATTGTCCTTAAGTGCAGCCAATATTTCGCTTTCATGCACGTTTAACAGGATCTTGCGACTTCTCTTTACTCTACCATGTGTAATTCCAATAAGGCCCACTGTTTCAAGCATTCCTGTCAAGTCGTGGAATTCCGTCTGAGTGACTGGCGAGTATAGGTCCTTATTGCGACAATGAGAAATATATTTATCTTGGAACTATATAGCGGAGTAATTTTTGGTCAATAAGTGAATGGACATACTATATTACCCAATGACTAATATCATATATTTACCTTGCCATAAGTGATATCCCCTTTCTTTTGTTTACTCATAATAAACAAAGTGCACAATAGTAACTGCTGATGCAAAGTTAACTGCCGTATTTTCATTACGTTGCTAGATCCGGATGTGGCCATAGCAGCTTTGTTCATATGTTCAAGATTCACTCTCACTATCCTTTCTATATCCGCACAATTTTCACTTCGACTCTCTTCTTTCATATATTCCTTCTCAGCCAGTTCGATAGCTTGCCTGCATACATCTAGAGCTTTCCGTAGGTCACCGTTCGATGCAGCTACTTTCCTAGCACATAACTCGATGGCACGAGAGTCTACTAATGGCTGAAAGCATTGTTGAAATGCCGTAGATAAGCGATGATTGAGTATAGCTATTATTTCCGTGACCGTGTATGGGTTAAAATTGAGTAATTGTGGTAAACCTATTAACGTGGAAAAGATTGGTCGTGATAAGCGTTCTGATTATATGAGTCAAAATTTCAGGTCAGTTTACGTACATCCTTTGGCCTTTAAACGCGGAAGAAATTTGTCAGTCAGATTCAGAGCATTTGCTATGCCAATTAGAGTTAATCTCGAATTAGGAAGTGTTGGCCATTCAAATAATTGGTATAAAACGTCTTGATCTTTAGTCAACAGTGTGTCAATCTCATCTAGAACTACAATACTGAAAATTTTTTGTATTATTAGCGACAGATGCAAAATTACTCATACTAAAAGTCCATTAACTCTTACAGAAAGCCTTGTCCTCTCTACTCTTACTTACAATGTGGTGTTGCCATCTCGATTCACGAATACTTTCTGCAAATATTTCACTGCATCTTCTTCATCTTCACATCCGCCAATTTGTCTGGCCAACTTAGTATAAACATTTTTTGCATCTCCAACTATCATGCAATTCATTGTAATAATTTCCATTTCCCTTTTGTTCATCTTTCTCCGTTTGCATGCTTCATTACTCCCCTTCTCTCCACGGTCTCTTTTCAACTTTTCACATATCTCGTTCACTAGTAACGTCTTGCCAGTTCCTGGGTTTCCAGAAATATACAAACTGCCTGGTTTGTCAATCAGAGCATGTTTAGAGAGAAAGTCATATATGATTGTGCGTTCGGTATTACGGCCAGTTGATTGCGTAAGCGTAAATGAGCGACGAAATAGCGATTTGGCTTCTTGATAGATTTGGATTGGCGTTAAATTTTGGTTAGAAATTTGAGGACGAGAATTTAGTTTAGAGTCCGAGTAAGCAACAAGTGAGCGTTTTGATGTATGGAAGATTGAATTGATAGTATTGTTGTTAACATTATTAGCAGTAGCAGCAACTTTGGATCTCTTCAGTGGCATATTGCTATGTTTCCTTTTTATTCTCTGTAGTATATTACCACGTTCTCTGCGTATCGACTCCACGTTAGAGAGTTATGGGGATAGAACGTTGATGTATTTATAGAAATTGCATTCTCCGTTTTCTGCTTTTAAAAAACGCGTCAGGTAATCAGAATGCGGCAACATCGCGTGTCGTGAGTATGTAACACGAATGGTGTATCACCAAATAAGATATTTTTATTGGATTAGGTAGAACTCGATTCAAGTCATTCACGAATACACCGCGTTATCGATAAAGAACAACAAACTGTATTTATGGAGAGTACATGACAGTGTAAGAGTGAAGGAGAAAAATATTTATTCAGTAGCTTTTTTTTAACTGCTGACTATCACCTGACATACTAATAGGCCGAAAGAGCCCAAGCGTTTTTTACTTCCCTAATTGTCACTTGTTCGATGCAATGATCAAGGTGAGAATTGTGTACGATTAAAACCATACGTGGGGTTAGCAAAGAACGTTGAACAGATCTTTATTCTTCATTAACGACCTCATTGTCCGCGTTTTTCTTTCTAAACTATCTGAATTTTGTCTATTGTCTTTCCACGGTGCTGGACCTTTGCGGAACGGCTGCAGCACGTCTACATAGTATACGCTTGCTATTTAAATAACCCGAAATTAGCTTCTGTTGCAAATTCCGCTGATCTTTGAATTCCGCAGCAACGTGATGACGTATCCGAAATCCCATACCGAACAAAAAATTTTCGAAAACGTGTACATTCTTATTCTTGTTTTTTCCCACCTAGTAAATTCGTTCACGCAAAACCGACACATATTACAACTATGTTATTATACCGCAACAACACATATGCACCCTTCCGTCCATCGCCTTTGCGGCAAGTGACCCAAGCAGGAACCCCCTCAAGTACAAGCACTAACCTACGTCGAACCAATATAAAAAAAGCAACAAAACAACAATGGAGGGACAAGTTCAAGCAACAGTGCATGGATAGAATAAAAGAATCCAGAATGAAGGCTTTTAACGCAAGGAGAAGAGGGTTTATTACGAATGATAGTGAAGATGAGGTTTGTACTAGTTATAGATTGAGAGGGCAAGGGCAAGACCCAACGGATAAGTCCTGATAATAAACTATTTTTGTGTTTGTATTTGATTTAATCAGTGGCTTCGTGACGTAATACTGAGCGAATGGGAAGTATTTCAAGCTGCTTATGAAAAAGATTACGCGTCATCTGTTGGAGATGTGGACATTGACATGGCGGCTTTATTGGAAGAAGAGTTTCTACAAGAAATCTCAAGAGGTTAGCGTTCTTTAACCACATAATCGACATGACACATTTTATATTTATCCGTTCGCTCCTCGTTATTGTTTTTTTTTTTTGCTAGATTTATTGACGGAAGATACGTCATTTGATGAAGTTGAACGTATGCTCGCAAATGAGGAAGAAGAGCTTCGGGTACGCTTCGAAGAATTCCACAGAATGCAACTATGATATAAAAACTCGACCACGGAATTATTATTATTATCTACAATGTTCAGACACTCACCTGCTGTCGATGGATCGGCAAAGTATTTGCGTTTGATGTAAATAAAGGTCATGTTAAACCGGACGATTGCAAGTAATCTAGTTTGCTTGTAGCATGAGCTTAATGTTAAATGAATGTTCTGGTTGTGAAGAAAGCAAAGATTCACGATTCTGGCGCTCTTCTACTAGACTTTGATAACAGTTAGAAGAACAGATTTTCCTCCTATTATACGCGTAGTACGCCATTATAACTTGAGAATGCAGGATAGGAAATCATGTACGATTCTTTAAGTAGAGATTTCTACGTAAACTTGTTTTAATTACCTAAACGTTCATTAGTTTACAATAACCACGAGTACAATATCAAGTGCACAACTTACGGATGGACAACAAATCAGATAATGAACAGAAAGCAATGCTACAGTAGAGTCATAGGGTAAGTTAATTTTTAATGGACAAAGTGGAAGAGCAGAAAAGTCAAGCGCCAAACATTGTTAACAGCATAATATTAATTAACCAATAAATACATATCTTTGTTATATCCAAGATGGGGATATAAACGAGGGACGACTGTACTTGTAAATAACAACAAAAAACTTCTGATGGGGCAGTTACCGCTCATGGGCCTTTTTTTGCTATAAATTACAGAATAACTAAAAACCGTTTATTCATTGTCACAGACGAGACAAAAAGAGTATGATGTATTACGCATACCGTTTAAGCTAATGATGACTAATGATCTTATTGGCTATCAATGGCTATTGAAAAATTTAAATTCTGCTTATGAGTTATGAAATGAAGGCGTGCTGCGAAGAGTCGCTGGCACTCTCAAGGACGTATAAAAGCAGAACGAACCTACAGTGGCATCCGCCTTTACTATATCACCCACGTCCTCTCCACCTGCATCGGACACCAGATCCTCTACCGAACAGCCTTCCAAATACATTTACGCGCGAGTTTCGAGTCCCAAGCAACGGAACGACCTCGAACGACAGAAACACGATCTCCAACAACTCTATCCTTCACATCTCGTCCTCACAGGCGGCATCAATTGGAAGAGACCCGGACTTAAGACCTTATTGGAACACTCGCGTCGCGGCTTGGTCACAGAGGTAGTTTTGTGTTTGGTTGCTCCCTCGATTCATTCGAATGCATGCTCATCACCTATTTCAGATTGTGGTTGCCCACCGAGACCGACTCTGTCGCTTTGCTT